CTCTGTGACGTCACTGGATTCTTCCCAGCAGACATCAGCCTCCGCTGGGAGCACAACGGCTCCATAGTCCCCGCCTCCCAGTACAGCAGTGGCCCCGTCTTCAGATCTGGCCAGGCCTACTCTGCTCAGAGCATCTTGAGACTCCCCAGGTCCAAGGGGGAAGGAGAAGCGGGGCCCCAATATGTCTGCCTGGTGTCGCACATGATGCTGAATGAAACCTTGAAGGTCAAGGTGAAGCCACAGAATTGTGAGTTGAAGCTCCCAAAGGGCGACGAGAGGGTTGTTTATCCCAATACGGTTAACGCCCCCCATTACCCTCAGTGGCTGGTGAGGGAGCTAGCACCAGTTCAGGCTTTAATGCTGGGGTTTCCAAAGGGATTCACGCTCTCAACTCCCACATCGACTTGCAGTGAGAGTTGTGGTCTCAACCCCTGGGAGACCAGCAGCCAGAATATCACTGGGTTGATATATAAACGGCACCTTCTGCCTGTGTAGGGGGGAGAGGTTTAGGGGATGCGAGTTCTATCCTGAGCTCTGGATTCAGGATCTAGTACTTCCAGCAGGGGGCTGGGAGCCAGGACTTCTGGATTCTATCCCCAGCTCTGGGAGGGGAGTGGGGCTAGTGGTTAGAGCATGGAGAAAAGGAGTGAGGAATTACCGTGGGCAAGTCGTTTCTCCTCTCTGTGTCCCCGGTGCCAACTCTGTCATCTTTGTTGAGCTCATGAATTTCAGGCTGGAAGGACCCTGAGTTAAGCAAACATGGCAGGTCTGCCCCCTGCCAGGTTTTCCACAATGGGGCTTTCTCCCATCATAGCCAGAGACTTTCAGTTCTGCCCATGGGACCCAGAGACCCAAATAATCATAATGGGACCCAGGAATCCCAATCCCTGGGTGTGTTGGAAAACTTCATCCGTTGTTCCCGAAGCCCCGTGAGATGAGGGTCCTGCCCCTTCCATCAGGGAACCCAGTGCCCTATTTCCCACCCCAATGACCCTCGTCCCTGTCCCAAAACAGCCCCTGGGATTTGCACCCCTCAGACAGAGGCAATTAGTTATCAGCTGGTGTCATCTCAGCCCTCAACGCTGCCTCCTGCCCCCAACCAGGTGGTGGCAACTGTAATCGACACCCTCTGGAGGTCTTTCTCCTTCCCCCTTCCCTGGAGGACCTCTACATAGCACAGAACGCCACCATCACTTGTTTGGTGAGTGGCATGGAGACCCCTGGCAGCCTGGAGGTCTCCTGGAGCCGGGGTAGCGGGGGCCCATTGGACGTGGTCTCCAGGGAGCCGGTGCTGCAGGAAAATGGCACTTACAGTGCAACCAGCATCCTGCGGGTGTGTGTGGAGGAGTGGCAGGCAGGGGAGGAGTTCACCTGCACCATGAAACACCGAGACATCCCGTCGGCCATCGTCAAGACCATCCTCAAGATACATGGTAAGAAACCCGCCTTTCCCCTGTAGGGGGCGCCAGCTCCAATCTGGCTGGCTCATGGTGTGGGGACTGGCTGGCTCAGGGTGTGGGGAATGGGACATGGGTCCTTCTGTCTCTAGGGAAGCTAGCTCTGATCTGGCTTCAGGTCTTTGGACTGGGCATTACACATTTGTGGGTGGGAGGAAATGTGCAAATTTATGAGAGAGAAGGGGACGTAGAGTCAGGACTCCTGGGTTCTTTTTCCAGATCTGGGAGCAGAGTGTGTGTGGGGGTCTAGTGGTTTATAGTAGGGGGGTTGTGTGGGGGTTGGCAGCCGGGACTCCTGATTCTCCTCGCTCACCATTAACCCTTTGGTGTTTCCTTGTGGCAGAAGTCT